ATAAGCACAAAATCCTGTTGCATCATTGCGTGTATATTGTCAAACTATAGCGATTTGATAGCCTCGACGATCCCAGAGGTGGTGAAATGGTAATGCCTTTGCCTACCAGGCCCAAGAGTCCGGGTTTTATGCAAACGGAGTTAGTTGCTTCAGGCAATGCTTAACAGCAGTACCAAGCGTGAGGTTCAGAAGGTTCATTTTTAACTATTAACCATCGGTAAAAACAAGGCAGCAGAAGAATACAAACGAAAAATGTCGAACTATTATTTGTTAGGAACTTGGAAAAATCAAAGAACAAAAAACCGCTAGTCCTATTCTAGGTGAGCTAGTCCTTTTAGCCGGTTCTAAGCAGAGAACAGTTAATAGTTGAGGGCTACGTTTTCCTACTCTGGGATGTATCACCAGTTACATAAGAGATAGGATTAATCTTAGATCTAGGAAGGCCAGTAGGGAACTCTCGCATCGGCAAGCTATAGAAAGATAAGAGCTAATAATGATTCAAAGGGCTATGAAGCAAAGATGCTGAGAACGTGACGAAGCCGTCGGAAATGATGATCGAAGAATGCTTTAGGTAGCTGAGATATTGCTTAAACAGCATAATTTTGAAAGATTCGAGAAAAAGAGCTATTACCTTTACATAAGGTCGTTTTACAAACAAAGAAGAAAAAGAAAAAAAAAACAGATGAGAAATCGTGCATTGTTAGTACGGCGGAAAAGCTGTCGCAAGGAGCCGATGAATTTCAATCTGAATAGTGAACAAACAACAAGAAGCCACTTCCGAACGATTGTTTATTACCGACAGATGGGTTCCCGAACAGCTCCGAGTAGAGCACGCTCACAAAATAGATAGCCTTTCACATATTCTATAAAGTTTCATGTGGTATCAACGGCTCTATTTTCTGTTACCTCGCTCATTTCAGGTATTCGGCAGATGTTGTTCTAGCACTATAGCGCCTTCTGTTAAGCTACATCACCTTCGATGTTGCCGTTCGCAAAAGATATGTTTCCGAGCACAGCTGAACCTTTTTGACGTCTCGCGAGACTCAGCTGCTTCCTAACCTGAGTGACTGAGCCTTGTCATCTGGCAAATATAGATTTTCTAATTTTTCCCTTGCCAGAGCGACTTTGATTGTGTAGAAAATCTGGTACGAAATCGATCATAGTGTCAACCCAGTTTAGACCTGAATTCGGCTTGTTGGCCGTAAGCTATTCTATTGAGAAATTTTCTGTTCAAACAGCTTAACATCGAACTTGCAATTGTAAAAGCTGTTGCTACATAAAATATTATTATATTTACATTGCGTATATTTGAAAAGCCCTTTTCTTTCTGCTTAGCTCAGCATTCGTACAATACTTTATGTACCATTGTTGCAGTTACTATTTTCTTTACTGTTACTTCCCTTACCCCCGAGCATAGATCGTGCACCCCATGAAATACTACCTCTATCTCTAACAGCAGCCCCTTTTCATTTTCACGTTCTGCGCCTGCCTAGAAGGCCATTTTTGCTTCTCAGTGTGACACTTATATCGCAACAGGCAGTCGCTGCTGTCTCCAATGGTAAGCATGTTCGCTGGTAGATATACCTACGTTACGGTCACTAAAACATATTAATTTTTTTCGTTCCGAGCGAACTTCTACCCGAAATACGAAAGAACGCTTCTCGGCCGTTATCGACTAGCATTGCTGACGGTGGCGGCACATCAGTCGTCCGTTTTCAGTTTCTTTTGCGAATCTCTAGAGCTGCATTTTTGTTCGCCCGCTGACAGGGATCGCGTGTGCCTGCTGCGTTCGAGTAAGCTCAAGCAGCCGAGGAAAATTACGATACTCCTTCGACTGATGCCGACATGTTACCTGCGTTGTAGAATTCGAACACCGTAATGGCAGCCGTGGTCGTGCAAATCGGAGATCGGGACGATTTCGATCTGCTCTGTTCCAGCTACTGAAACAATAAGATGGCAGACATCACCAGCAGAAATGGCGTCCTTCTTATTTGTTTCATTTACACTAGATGAGAATGAGCAAATGTAAGCGAGATTCACAAATTCGATAGGCTCTTTGTCCTATCAATAACAGAAAAATCTAAGATTATACCTTGTGACGTTCCTGATTATTTATTATGAAGTCACTTCACATTATACGGGGAAGTAAATGAGGGATAAGCTCTGATTCATGGAGAGACATTTTCAATATATTGTGTTGATACAAAAACGATAATGCTATTTTTTATGAAAATACATTCAATAGTGATATTAAGAATAACATAACTTTTCGATTTTTTTACATTACACATACCTACCTGTTCGAGATAAAATATGCTAAACCTGTGCCCCCTTGCCCGGCGACGGATAAGGGATGATCCAGATCACAAGCCCGCATGCGTATATATCCAGTGAATATATATATCCGCTGACATCTTCTCTATCCGGTCACAGCTGTTACCTTGTAGGGAACGCACGATGACAGTATGTTTACTTTTCACACACACACACACACACACACACACACACACACACACACACACACACACACACACATATATATTCATTCATACGCCAGGATGGTTGACAGCTTTTCGTTCGGACCGCCAGGTTCTCACCGCACTCCAGAAATCCAAAACCCGGGCGCGATATTGTCACGATGGCTGTTTCTATTGCTTATATCAACTGTGGGATGTAACTGTTCGCCCTTTGATGTTGTATTGGGGGCACTTTCACTCTTCAAACGTTATTTACTGTTTTTCTGAGGAACGAGTAAACGAAAAAGCGAGTCGATCGCCGCTGTGTCGGGTTCAAACGCGCTGAAGAAAAGGAAAGAGAAAGCGCTGGCCGGGCAGCGGAAATCGTTTGTTGGTAGCTTGAATAGACATTGATCATGAAGTAGCAAGAAATTTTCACGTACGCTTTCCACTGTGCGATGAGTCTGCCAGAGATGGCGTGCGTCGCCGCTGGTAGTAGTAGTAGTAATAACAACACGTATGGTAAAAAAAAAAAAAAAAAAAAGTCCCAGTTCTCTTCAGCGACTTCGTTGCATAAATGAGCACCGATGGACGACTAAAAAGACCAACTCATGCTTGCAAGCGAACTGTAATAAAAATACTGCAGCTACCGCATTTGCTGTCGTAATGCGAGTTGTGGTCGTATTTTTTTTTGCTTTGGCGCTGCTTGACAAAAAACTGACCAATATAATACTAGAAAATGCATATGTTCATGCTTTATACATCTATTATCCAGTCAGAAATAACTATTCTGAAGGAGAAGCCTTCATTACTCTACGTGATCCCCTGACAGTGTTTCGGGCCTAAGGGAACGTTCGGGGGGTATTCAGTCATAAAGTCTATAACTCCCATTATTTTCCAAATTTTGACCCACCGAGTATTACACACCCGCTGTTGTAGCGGGTCTTCAGTGTTTCTTACCTTACCTTACCGATACTTTAGTACAGGCATGTATCTTGCACACTATTGGCGAAAACGCTAGTGAAGACTGAGGCGGCAAAAACTAGCATTGTCATTGAAAGTACCCATCAACCAAGTCCTAGTTTAAAATATGCACGCAGACGTACATACAGGTCCCGATAAATCCATGAACACAGAGATACAACTTTAAAAGGAAAAGGCGTCCAAGGAGAGAAGAGCAGCGACAGTAGCAAGAGACAAGAAGGACTAATTGTTGCTGTTATACTAGACGAAAAGCAAAGTGGAGGAGGAGGAGGAGGAGGAGGAGGAGGAGGAGTCTCGATGGCGGAACAACACTGTCGAAGAAAAATGGCAATGAAGAAGCGGTAAAGCAAATAGCAAAAAAGGAATAACCTCGTCAAAAGTCGTCCTGTCTACTAGAGCCGTTTGACGTCCCCAGAGTAACTGAGAGTTCTGTTCATTTGTTCAGCTGCTGGGGCCACCGTTGTTGGAACAGCAGCGTCGATGATTTCGTCATCAAAGAAAGATTCATCCAAGCAATCAAACAACGAACTATTCCCGCTTCTGCGACTTCGTTAGCAACTATCCCCAAGCTACTTCAACAGCAGCAAAGCGGACGCTGGCAAACTAAGTGCTTCCCTCTGCGGCTGACTTTTCCCTCCTGCAGATACTTCTGCTTCTGCCTCAGCCATTACTACTCTTTTAGTTGCCGACGCCGGTGCGCTGAAGTCGATTGCTGATTTTGGTTGGCTGGCTGGCTGGCTGGCTGGCTGCCTGCTTGAAGTGGCAGCACTAGCACTGCTGGTGGCAGAAGGATGGCGCCGAGCTCGGAGTTGTGATGTAGGTCACTTGGGGAATCCGCCGTTGCTATGACTTCTGCCGATACGCGGCTGTCACCACAGTCACGGCAGCGGTAACAAATGCCGCTGGCGGGTAAGCAGATGTTACGCAGCCGGTGCACCGGCTACAATCAGACAAGCACATGGATTGGAAAACACATACACAGATGTCTCTAATAAAAGCAATGTAGCGACAGGTTAAAATACAAACAGGCATAGAGATTGTCAAAATAACGATGCAGACATGAAGCTCACCTCTGCTTTTTTCGTTTCAGTTGATGTGAGTCGCCCTGTTCTAGCTATCAGCCCCGGCGCGAAACGTTAATAAGTTTCAAACAATATCTCCTAGAAAACCCAGGAACAGTTAAGCGCAATGCCATGCTCGCTTGCCTGTTTAACGACCTGCCCATCAGGTTTGTCTACATAGTTGGGGCACCTCTGGGTAGGTTAGCGCCTGTTCTTCGCCAAAAGGTGTTTAATACGTTCTCTTGTTTGCTATAGGGAGGCAGACAGACAAATATTTTTGCCACGAGCTGAATGTGTGACGTTTCCTTATGTACGTGAGGTTGAATTAGTTACTGTATTCCGATGTGCGTGATGCCTGAGTGTACATACGTCATGTATCGGTGAATGGCGGTCCAAAACGGTCCGAGTGTGTGTGTGTATGTGTGTGTGTGTGTGTGTGTGTGTGTGTGTGTGTCTGTGTGTTGCTTCCGTCCGAGGGAAACGGAAAAAGAAACACTTCCGACGACGACGAAGTCGTCGTCATTGTTGGCGGCGGTGACTTGGCTTACGGCTGCCTCGGTTCCAGCATCAACGGCTTCAGCTCTATTGAGTAAGTGTAGCTGCAGAACGACTCACTCACTAACCCAGCCGTTTTGCCGCAGATGAAGCGCTCGCGCACACAATCATGACACACAGCGGCACGGCCAGCTCGACCGAGATCTGACAGCGTGTCTCTACTACAATCCAACCGGTGGCCAGCGATTCAGTCTCGGTCCCAGAACGGGGTTTCCTTTTTGTCGGGTTCAGACCCGGCCAGATCCAGGCGATCGTGTTGCCTACTAAAAGCAGCAGATCAACCCGCAAGATCCTTCCGTTGCAAGTGGTTACCACAACCACCGCTGCTGCTGTTGCTGTTGCTGCCGGGAAGAAGTTCCCTTCACCGAGCCGTCATGCCCATCGCCACCAACAGCGGGAACACCAATAGCGACGTCATGGAGCAGCTGCTACGACTGTGGTCCGCTGCGGCGGATGCTTGACGCTGCTGCAGCCGATGGAACTAGTGGTCGTTTGAGAGAACAGCGCAGTAGCAGGAAGAAACGGCAACATCAGCGGCGGTAGCAATGGCAGCTGCTGCTGAGAGTGTAACCGGCTGCACTGTTTCACTGATTGACTGCGACTCGAGCCCTATCCGTCGCAACAGAAAGTGAAGAAAGTGAGCCCGTTCCAGCGACCACTCGGCTTCTGACCGCGGAGCCCGGCGGATGTCCGTCAGACACGTCCCACAAGTTCCTGTTTGCCACTGTGCTATCGTGTACTGCCGCGGTTGCTATAGCTACTATGAGTAGTATTATACTAGTGCTGGTATACCGCATCATAAACTTCGTACTGCATTGCGCTGGTTTGCATAGGATACTATAAAGGATACGTAGAAAGGAAAACGGTGCCCTGTTGTTGTGTCCTACGTCGTGGTCAGCATCGCTAGACTCTATTGAGGAGCGCGCAATAGGACATAGATCAACTACCGCTACAGGTCCAGTAGTTGTAGGCACTCGCATATTGTACGATCACAGACGACTGCGAGTGTGGAGTTTCAGGCTTAAAGTCGCGTATCACAGTTATTGGAACTCTTTTAGCTGGGCACCTAGCCGCGCTGGATGGTGACGAGTATGGAGCGTGTCAGATCGCCAACTATTACATCAGCAGTTAGCGTTAATTTTCAGCTGGGTAGCCGTGAATTAGTTGTTCCGGCCATCTGACAGTAAATTGCAACCCACACCTGATTTACCTTTATACAGATTGCATAGATTTCTTAGAATCGTAATTGCTAAATTCAGTTACCTGTGTGTTGAAAGTGCGGAAGTTAGGACGGTTACAATAAGGACAACGAATCGTGAACACAACATACAATCGCTGCTGTTTCGAGTGAAGCTGATTGAAGTGTCTGTTCCGTCCCTGTGAATGTGCTTGTGCGTGAACGGTGCTATTTCCCTACGTAAAACTGACCTACTTCGAATGGTGAACGAGAAGATTTGAATTGTGCCTCGTTTCTGCTACGACTTCTACCACGACAATGACCACAACTGCGACGACAAAGTGAATGCCAACGCTTGTCAATGAGATCGACTAATGAAATGAACTGAATAGGTTGACTTAAGGAAACCGTGACTGGATATTAATGTGCGCGCTCTCACCATCTGGATAATCAATAGTGTGAAATCTGTCTCTCGTTACCACAGAGAACAACTCAAGAAGCGTTTTTACTTTTTCGTTAATCGTCGCACTTCGCTTGACCAGCAGCGACACCTTTGTTTTAATCTGGGTTTTTGTTCATTATTATCTTCTACAGTCTGAGCAGGCGCAGGGTGCCTTACACTCATTAAAGGTAACAACAATTTCACTAGTGATCGTTTATGTTCAGATACATACGGTATCGTACGAAGGAGAAGTCACGCGGGGTGAACAACGCTATTTACGTCTGCATTTCTCCAGCACCAACAGTCACCAGTCGGTGACCCTTTCAGTGACAGTAGCGAGTCCTGCCTCATCTGTTACGTCGCCTGTCTTGTGTGAGTCTACTACAACAACGCGCGGTACCGCCTCATTGCTCTTTCTCCCCACACTTCAGCTCCCTTAATTGCCCACACTTCGGTCTAGCAGCCGACGCGCAGCAGAAGTCGCCCCGCAGCCAACTAGCACCCTCTGACGGACTGAAGTCTTTCAGCTAAAAACAGCCGACGCAGGACTCAGTAAAATGTCGTCTGCTCCTTTGCCACAACCGCACAGCGGGCACCCGCACGCTCATGCTATCGGGGCGAGTGGTCTGGCCGCCCTTCTAGCGGCGGACCGTGTGGTGAGTCACTTTGGGCATCTAGCGCAGTTGCCCCTACCCTTGACGGGCCTGCCAACCCTGAAGAGTGGCGAGGCGCTGAACAGATTGGCGGCCGGTCCCCACAGCGCTCACGGCGCACACGACGGCGGCTCACATCTCGACTCTATCTGGCTGCAGTTCGCAAAGAAGGCGGCCGAGCACAATCATGAGCTGAACGCCCAACGTTACCGTGACCACCAGCTGCAACAGCGTGAACACCTGGATAAACAGCTTGAACAGCTCGAACAGCAACTTGAGAACAACACTAACAACAACAGCAACAGCTTCGAGAGGGCCCGGGACTTTTCGACCTCTAGCCCCCTTCCGCTGTCGCTTGTTCAGCCGACGAAGGGCAAACGCGATTTGCACTTATCAAACAACAACAATAACAACAGTGGTAACAACAGCAGTGCCACAGTTAAATCTTCATCCGCGTCGACATCAGCACTGAGCACTTCGTCATCCGGAGGTAGCTGTGGCGGGGCCTCCTCAGCTAGTGCCCCTGGTGCAAGCACGACGACAGCAAGTTCATTGTCACCATCAGCAGCCTTACCTTCGGTGACCACGCCGCTGTCGCTGTCGACGTCCACAAACTCAAACTGCTCAACAGCACCCAGTACAGCCGTGCAGACCAGTGTACATTCACCACCGACCAGCAACATGGGCAAGGCCCAGAATGCTGGCGGTGCAGACGGAACCCCGAAACGCCGAGGTCGCGGCAAAGAACGCCAATGGACTTTAATCTGTTACTATGACAACGATGCTGAAGCCAAGGGATTTGTGGCTGCCGAACGTACCTGGGTGATGCAGAAGAAAACGCAGGTTCAAGAAGGAACCAAAGTGTACTACGAGTGCTCGAAATACCGCTCCGCCCGCTGTCCAGCAGCTGTGTCTCTACTATACCATGCGAATAGTGACAAAGTGTCTGTGTTTCGAGCGTCTGGTGACCACAATCATGCCCCGGTAGAGAAGGGGGTTCGGTCGAAAACGGCGCCTGTTGAACGCTTGGATTGCTGCCAGAGCGTCGGTAGTGCTGTGGGTGCGGGAGTTAATAGTGGAGCTGTCGTGCACTCTGGGGATCAACAACATAACAGGGAAAATGCGATGCCGGTATTAACGCCACACCATGCGCCGACCGAGGAATATAGAGGAGGTGAGGCGGCTCCCACACTTCTACGTCCTGTCGCTACTTATCCGAAGCAACCTCAACTTCCTCAAGAGCCAATTCATCCGCTTAAGCGTTTTAAGATGCAACATGCGTCGGGACAGTTTGACTACCTGATCAGTAAATTTCCTGGCCCGGATGCATCTGACGATCAGATCAACAGTCATGGGACACATCCGGGCCTCACTCACGGACATCAACATACGGGGCATTTCCAGCATGCGTTCAAGACGGCCGTAAGTCGATCCGACTACACTGAACTCTCTGAGACCCAGATCTCCGACTCGTCACTCCACATTAAAGAGGAGCCCGGATTAGCATCGCCAGGCATCGAGTCTTCAACCTCGTACGATTCAACGGGCAGTGAACTGTGCCGAGGCGGTTCACCGAGATGTTTTATTCCACAGTGCCCCACGAATCGGTTGCCCCGACCTGAAACATCGTCCAGCCAGAAAGCACCCACGTTGGCTAACCTGCTGGGCCATACGCCAGCGCCACCATGTAAACTTCCTGAATTGGTCGGCTTCCCCGATGACGTTCTCCTTCGTATGGTCTGGTGTATGAACGTCAATCTGAGCAATCCGGACGGCACCCTCAAGATGGCATCGAACGGGGACTTCCTCTGCGAGGCGCACTTCACTAGCGAACGCTTCGACTCAAAAGGAAAACTACGCAAGGACGCTGTACCGACATTGTTCGGCGAACAGGCACGCATCCGCGAAGTGTGCAGTGTCCTGCCCGCCGACCACCCTGATCAGATGGATTGTAAGGTAGGAATCGTTCAACAGATCCAGCAACAGCCCCAACAGCCACAGCTGGCCATCGACTACAATAATAATAGTAGTAATAACACTTGTCCAGTGCAAAATCAGACCCAGCTTCCACACAGTCAACCACAACAGCAGCACCAGCAGCAACACCAACAGCAGCATCAGCTGCAACACACAAGTAACAGCGTCAACAACCCAAACACAAACAACTGCTCAAGCAGTAATAGCAGCAATTGCTTCGACTACTTCGAGCCGACGCTTATCAAGGTTCGAGACTCGGATTTCGATACGATTAAGGTCGAGGACTTCGAGTACATGCTATTGGACTAAGAGTAACCATGATTCTTATAGTACTGATAAAATATAAGTATCGAGACTCCAGTGTAGAGCATAATAATTTGTTGTGTAATAAGAATGGCAATAATCAGCAGGTTATTTTACCTACCTGCAATGCGCGTACGGTGTTGATCGGGGAACTCGGCTTAATGCCGAATCTCGAATCGGCCATTGTTGTTAACTTGTTGACCTTGAGATACCTCCTAGAGATCGTAAATTCGTTTTAATCATTCTGGTTTTAATCATCGTTTGTACCTGCGATAACATGTTAGGCATTCGACCAGTCGGCCAGAGGGAGTCTTTTTGTTCAGACGGTCGAGGTCAATTAATAGTATCTGTGGTTTCATATGGAACATCGTCCAAAGGATGGGATAACGGTGGTGGAACGCCGATTTCTACAATCATAACTCGATGCTGAGCATACGTCTAACGTACTGATAGCCAGTCATTGCGCAAAATATTATAAATTCCCCAGAAATTGTTCATTTTATTAAAATAAGTATATAAAAACGTCTCTTTTCAAATACCCGACCGAGAAATCTGCCTACCACCGTTGCCCTTTGCCCCACCAACTCAAATTGTTTTTACCTAAGTGTTAACATTCTTCACCATATTACAATTTTACATGTATGTGTGTATATATATATATATATATATATATATATACATATATACGCACTGCGTGTATGATTGAAGAAATATTTTTATATGTCTGCTTGAGTCGGTGATAATACAAATTAAGAAATGTTCTCGCCTGCGATCGGTTCCAATCGATATACGAAATGTCTCGGTTGTGCGTTCATGAAGTGTCGTGCAATGCAGGACCTGTGCCTACAACCCTCAGTTACATTGAGTTCAGTGTCGCGTTGGATTATTCTGGTGCCGTATCATTGGACTACTATGGAGCATATGTGTGTTACGCTGCTTGGATATTGGGACGTAGGCTTTTTTTGAAAACAACTGAAAGATCCAGTGAGCGCGGCAGTAGCGGCAGCTGTGGTTTTATTTATTTTATTAAGCAAACGCCCTATTGTTGTTCTTTCAGGTTTTTTTCTAATAATAGTAAATAAATTAACAAAAAATCTACTTGAAACAGAAACACACATACACTGATATCGCAGAATGGTTCCGCATCGCAACTCGTTGTAAAGTTGGTTTACTCATACTTTTATCTCGTCTGCCGCTACTAAATGCTGTGACTCTGCCCAATATGTATAGCACAGCTGTAGCTCAGATCACCCATTTCAATAAGGCTCATGGAAGGCACGTTCACATTGCGCATACGATGCTAACGTACCACGGAATCAATTCCGGCATGCTTTATCATGGCTGTAGTGCTAGCAGTACGTGTAACTACTCCTCAGCGCACGTAGTAATAGGATAAGCTAAATAGAAAAATGCAATGTGACGCCTCGAGTCTAGGAAATGTCCAATGAAGTAGAAAGTAGAAACTGAGGTTGTGTAATTTCGACTGCGATATACATTTCATAACAATAATGATGAATAATTTTTCATTCAACCTGATCTTGCGTGCTGCATAGCGCGATGGCCTTTCTACAACCTTTTCCAGCCAAACTGCAATCAGCTGGGAAGCGTCTTTGCTCAGCAAAGCTCTCGTGAAGGCTTATTTTTACCCTAAACGACACTGTAGATCAGTCCTATTACGACTTGACGTCTCATGGCTAATCAAGCGCACCTTCAGGAGCAGATACCGTGTTGCGTCCGGTTAATTTTTCCGTTTGGTCCTTTCTTTACCACGGCCGCCACCTTCTCGACGAATCTTGTCGCTCAGTCTCTTCGCTACGTCATAAGAATGGTTACCACCTCTCCAGGCGCCCCCCAGCAACGCAAAAGTCTGCAGCGAAGCCGCAACTATTACTCTTAGCTGGCGTCGGGGCCAGCAAAAGCCTCGTCGTTGCTAACTTCGTCGGTCGTTGTTTCGTTCTTGCTGCTGCTGTTGTTGTTGTTGTTGTTGTTGTTGTTGTTGTTGTTGTTGTTGTTGACGGTGTTGACAGCGGCAGCCGGAGCGATAGACGCCGTCGTTGTTGTTTGGTTCGTTTCTAGCGAAGGGCTGTAGCGCGAACTGCTGCGTGACGAACGCCTCAAGCCGGGCGCCTTTTGCCCCGCACCACGAGGCCGCTCATCTTAGTGCAAGGTCACCACCTGTATGTAGCATGGCATGGCGTGTCGATGATGGCGGTAGCCATGGCTGTGGTGGTCGTAGTTGTAGTACCCGCGGTGATGACGGCAGCGGTTTCGCCGCTGGTGCTGCCTCTGCTGATGGCGATGATGATATTGGAGGCAAAGCTGCTGATGCTGTTCGTGGCAGTGTTGGGCTGCGAGTTGTGCTTGGCTGGCTGTGTCAACGCTCGTCGTATGGCTGTAGCGTCGGCCATAGCAGGTGCTAATGCTTGACTATGCGCCGCCTGCGTGTCGACCCCCAGCCAGCCAGAGCGACTGCGTCGCTGCGCACAACGGCTGTGATATTCAGTTGTAGGATACAATAAACACGACTCTCGTTGTTTTTCCCCCTCGAGGTCTCCGGGCCCAGCTTACAACAACGTCAACAGTATCGCCATCATCAATCACGGCCTTCCTCCGCTACATCAGACACGAGCAATTCACAATTGAATCTTACATCAAGAATAGATAACTTCATATGTACACATCATTATTCCAGTGTTTTGTCCTGCCTCACCATCACAACAACAAAACTACGTTCAGACACACACACACACACACAAAAAGCAGGACAATCACGATGAATGCATGTTAACGTAAGCAATAACTGTAACACATATAGTAAATAGGCAGCACCGCCGGTTTGAGGAACCGAACCAATCGAATCGATCAATACTTAATACACAGGCATGGATAAGGTATAGCACCCTAACGACAGTAACAACAAAAAATCATCACAACAACAAAAGCAAGCTGTAAGAAGTACGAGACAAAGGAAACGTAGGAAAAAAAAAGTAAGGAAATCGATGGTGACAATGACGGGCGTACGAGTCGTGTTGCCACTGCACAACGAGTAATGAAACACCAACGATCGTAATATCCCATCTCAATCTAGTGGCTGCTAATCTATTTTATATATATATATATAGGTGTGTGCGTCTGTGTGTGGATATTTTTATGATTGTTATTATTATTCTGTTCATGAATGCTGCCTAGGTTAAATTGACCGCTCGATATATTTTTCTAAATACCTGCATTTTGTACATACGACTATATATATATATATATATATATATATGATAAAAATCTTTTATATATATATATACACACACACATCTGAACAAAGGATGTCGATGAGACCAGTAAAAACGGGAAAAAAAAAAAAAAAAAAGAAAAGCCAGCGACTGCGAAATCCAAATGCGTGAAGTAAGAAATGAAGAACATTTATGCGATTGAAACAGCAGCGGCTGCAAACGTTCCGTCGAAATGATCTAGTTAATTTGCGCTGGCGCGGCGAGCTCTCCTTGGCAATATCCTCTCCTTTAGTTTCGTACTTTTGTTACCGTCAAACTATTTCATTGATGTGATGAATGCCTTCGTGGATGAAGTGGTACAATGAAGTAACACATTGTTGTATCGTCTAAGAGCTCATGACGTTACTGGTATTATTGGCGCATTAATACTGCAATAACTGCCTTTCGATATTTAAGTCTTAAACGAACGTGTACATATAGCGCAGTGTTTTGTCTTTCATCGTCTCTGTGCAATCAGCTTCATCCAAGTTCCTCATAGCAACATCTGAGTTCAGGCCTTAACGCTTATTTCGTCTTGTCTTCCCGTGAGTGAATCTACAATTATTCTGCACTATAACATTATCACATCAATGGAATAGCTCCGCTCCAGCATCGCCAGTTGGCGGTCCAACTAAATGTTCGTCATTGCGGGGTCCTGGTTCCGTTGCGGCGTACGTCATTCGTCGAGCGTTTCCACTGTCTTCATTACCACCCCACAATTCAGTACGATGACTCTTTGCAACTATATGAGGTTCTTGAAAGCAGCTGTGAGCAAATGTGCCTGTCTGTTCGTCTAAGACATGGAGGTACTCTTCTATGTTCACTCGTATTTGCTGTCACAGTATAATGCGTTTAGGTGTGTATGTGTTTTTTGTTATTGTTGATCGTTTTCGTGAGCGTTGTCTTTTTCATATCGATTTAGCTGCTTTCTTGTTCGCTCTATTTACAAACGCACGCAACAGAGCCGAGACCTCCATTCAGTGCCAATCGCTGAAACAACAGCGATGCGATTACTGGCAAACCGCAGACCAACCCCCTCCCCTCCCCTCCTCCCCTCCTCGCCTCCCCAACCGGCATATCCAAACACAATTCGATTGTACTAATCATTTTTATATACAACAATCAACAACTTTAGACCATAGACTACTTACTATAAGTTTGTACATGCAACATATACACATATGGACCGATATAGACAACTCGGAGGTGTAGACATATACGAACTGTGTCGCCTAATAGCCCCAATCAGACGTCCGCCAGTTCACTTCTCGAATGCAGAAATGGATACGATGGCTGGATATAGCCAATGCTGTTGCTTTTGCTGTTGTAGTGGGACCCCAGTAAAAATATTGAGCCCCCTACTCTTAGCGATAGCACTTCAACGACTCGTGCTACGACCATCGATTCCAG